TTTAGCCTTAATTTTATATTGTCAATATTTATATTATATTTTTCACACTTTAGCGAGATTACTCCCACAATACCCTAAAGAATCATATTTAGGAGTCATTTGGCCCTATATATATTATATATATATATATATATATATATATTTATATTATTTTTATCCATACTCTCACCATACCTATTGAATTCATTCGTTCGGATTCAGCCGTACCCAAATATTATATTTATCCCCAAGTCTCTTGAAATGTTAAAAATTAATAAGATAATTTACACAATAATAAAAATTTGACCAAAACACTAATTAATTAAATTTTAATAATTGAATAAATTATTCAATAACCTTCTTCCCTAACTATTTATTGACTACAATTTTAATAAAACTATTTTGTTATTCACAATTTTCTTATAAAATAAACTAATTTATTCATATCCAAAATTTTGTTCACTTTGCAATTAACGCACACTATGCTATAAAACCACACTTGCGGAGAAAAATTTCACAATACTGTTTTTTGTGTAAAAATAAAAATAGCTATTAACAGACTTTAATACAATTTTTACCGTCGACGTATGTTTAACATTATTTAGTTATAAAACTCGTTTAAAGGGAGACAATATCTGCTATTCCAAGTTAACGAATGATAAAAATGCGTATAACCATTTTCTTAAGGGAAGATCTACCGGGGGAAATCAAATATTTAAAATACAAAACAACTACAAAATACCTTGTTTTACTAGTGAGTTAACTTAAATCGTAATGTTTTCGGAACACTTTTAAAAGCACACGTATAAACTTTATAAAAAAAAACAAGGAAACTAAACAACTACCAATTTTACAAGTCTCGTTATTTTAAAGACACCAGAACAAAAATTGTTCTTAAATCATAAAAGACAAGTAAACTTGTCCCTTCTCAATATAAGTTATGGCCTTCTATTTTTTCCCCTCAAAATCAGAATATCGAGACTACACAAATACCAAGCAGCAGGTATCAACAGAGTAATTGAAACTAAAATCAATCATCCGATTACCATAATAAAATTTTCCAAGTAACTCAAGTAACTTAAAACATAGTATACGAAACAAAAAGTGCTGTTCAAGTTTCAAAAACGTCTCTTAACAAATATAAAGGACAATGATCACCAAAACTGACATAATCTAGGAATGTAGGTCATTGAATCACTAGCTTCCAGAGCAAGTTAAGATGAAGCACCACTTCAAGCAGCAGCCGCCCTCTTCTTGCTTGTTGCCAACTGCGTCTCGGGCTACAAGAACAACAATAAATAAGAATTTTGATTCAAAAGAAAAGAGAATATGAAAATAATGTTTAATGAGAGGATCAATCATTACCTCTTTCTTGACAGGCTCTTCCTTCTCAGATAATATCAGCTCAATGTGGCAGGGAGATGACATGTAAGCTGCCAAAAAAAAATCATCGTCAACATAATCATGCAATAGAAATACATTATCCGTTAAAACAACATCATCAAAATTATCAGCTACATACGGTTGATTCTCCCATGAGCTCTGTAGGTACGGCGTCTTTGCTTCTGTGCTTGGTTAACCTGGATATGAGAAATGTAAAGAGCATCCACATCCAAACCTTTCACCTGTGCCAAAGAAATAAAAAGCACAAGACTTTAGATGTTGAGCAAAAACTATAACATGGAAAAATCAAATCAAATACATATACATGACATACTTCAGCATTACTCTCGGCATTTTTCAGCAAATCTAGGATGAATTTAGCTGATTTGACAGGCCAGCGTCCTTGTCCATTAGAGTGTCTGTTCTTGGCCTGGGCTGTCCTTCCCACACCACCACAGAAGCGTCGGAAAGGAATGGCCTGTTTGTGGGCCAAAACATCCTCGAGGTATCTTTTAGCTTTAACCAGGGGCAACTTCCTGATGGCAAAAGCAGTCTCCCTAGTGTTCTGTAAAATAAATGAAACAGATCAAACACGTGAATAAATTAATTCAAACAACATTACCAACCAATAACCATATCTACAAAATCTTAATCAACAAAACAAAAAATACATTAACCAAACAATCATATGCTATACACCAGAAGATTTACAAGGGAGATACTCACAGAAGCTAGTTTTTCTTTAAACAATTAGGCATAACAGTTTTATTACTAATTACATTCACTAAATCAAAACAACTCTGATTGACAATAAGAGCGTGATATAGCACAAGTTAACCATGATTACTAACTAATTGTTTAATGTTTAATACAAGCATGTTCCATCATTTACTGAACCTTCAGTCAGAATAAAAAGAACAGAGGTTCACCCAATAACAATGGATATTATATCCCTGAAGGTTACGAGAGGTCAGTCCACATGATAAACAAACCCCTGCTTTTTTCTTCAGGTTTCCCAATCATAACACAAATGCATACGAAATCCACATTCAATTCTAAAAATTAGGGTTTGGGATAACTCATGCAATAGCCTACAATACCACCACAAGAGATCATACAAATGCACATGAAAATCACATTCAATTCGAAAAATTAGAGTTTAGGATAACTCATGTAACAATCTCCAATACCACAGCAAGGAACCATAAAAGAGAAACAAATCTAAGTACCTTGAAATGCACTCTGAGGTCGGCGCCTCTAGCCTTGCAGGCTGCAACAACATCGAAAAATCGTGAATCAGTTTAAATTAACCTAAACTCAACACTTCAAAAAGAAACACTCCCGTTTGAGTAAATAAAAACGACGAAGCATACATACATAAATAACAACAGCATAAAACATAGAAATCGAATATATTAAGATTGTTTCAAATTATGAGAGCACAACGGAACCTACACTTGGTGGGATTGTCGGGTTCTCTGGAGTACTTCACCTGAGACAAAAGAGAAAAAGGAACAATGAGATCTAAAATTGAAGCTCAGAGGAAAGTAAGAAGCGTTGATTTGAGTTTGTTACTTACCATGGCTGCTTCTTCTTCTTCTTCTTTTGCTTCCACGCGGTTGAAGCAGAGGAACGGCTGAAGGAGGAAGCTAACTAGGGCACAAAGAAGCGCTGATTCGTTTATATATAATGGGTAACCAGTTTACACTGCGAGGTTTGCATAAAAATGGGTCGAGCCTGAATCTGGATCCGGCCCAACTTAATTATCATTAGTTACCAACAGTGATTTAGTTATTGGGCCGAACCTATTAGAAGTCCAAATCTGTACTAATATTCGGAGTCATCTACCAATAGTAAAGCCCACTTGCTGTATATACGTACTTTTACATAATATTTTTTTTAAAAAAATAATAGATAAAATTAACGTATTAAATATAAGTATTATTGGCATTAAAAATAATTCCAACAATTATCACATTATTAATTTTTGATATTTTTAAATGTAATAATAGAATAAATTAATTATTTAAATTTTATTTATTACATTAAAATAAATATATGAATAAAAATAATCATAATAATAGTTAAAAAATAATAATAATGTTAGGAGAACACTAGTTTTGTTGTTACTTCTTAGAATAAGTACTAGACCAAGTACTACCATCTAATTGGATTTCGTTGATCCCACAAACAAAAACCAAAGGATTAGGATTCAGCGGTTTGTGATGAGATGCGTCTCGTTAGAATCAAAATCAATGTCACCTCCATAGCCATCTGCGCTGCCTCTCCTTCTTCCTCCCTTGCTCACGCTTCAGGTACCCAATCTTCCTCCTTCCCCATTCTCAAACAACACACACTTTTATTTTTTTATTTTTTTATTTTTTCATTTTTCACGTAATAATTAATATATTCTACAAGTCCTTGATGCATTTCGTTAATTACGTTCTTTGTTATCCGAATTGGAGTACGATGTTTGTCGTCTTTTCGTAATTGAAATTTTATTTCGATAAAATGTGTAATAAAAAATTATTATTATTTAGATAAAATTCGAATTCCTATGAGAGAAGTTGAGGAAGTGTGTCTTAAGTTTTGTAATAATATATGATTTTGTCTTTCCTCGTAGCATTGTCCTGTTTCAACGCCCCGTTTCGTTCCATGAGTGTATTTTTTCCCGATTGTTTTATTTATAATTTTCCTACTGAAACTACAAAGGCTCTGGATCTGTTTATGTTTTTTCGTTTATCTATTTTCACTTTCCCAAATTATTATCAATATAATTTACGAGCTAACATTAAAAGTCGTTAACACATTAACACAAGTAATTTGAGGTTTTTGTTTCTTAATTAAGGACGGGTATTGATCATTGACATATAAGTATGGACTATGGAGTGATTACTCCTATGGTTATACCAAAAAAGTAATTTAAGAGCCATGTACTGAAAATAACATTGAGTTCTGAGATAAAATAATAACATTTTTTCCGAAAATTGGAGAATCAAATGTTACCGAATCGAAGAAGAAAAATAAAACCAATAGATGTGGTGAACAATTTCAATGCGAATTCGGTGTTATGAAGTGGACAGTTTGTTTCTTTTGTCACATCGAGAATGGAGGAAGAGTGTGAGGGTCCACCTAGGACGAGAGCATGTGTGAAACTAGACAAACCAAACTATAGGATTGTGTTACTGATGAAGTTGTTAGTTGTTACAGTGAGTGGAGTGTGGTGGAACAAACAAGATCAAGGGAATGGTGGGGATGAGAAGTTACCAAACCAAAAGCAACTGAACTAATAACTGGTCACGATTTGAAAAGAAAAAAAAAAAAAAAAAACTCGAAAGGCCAAAAACAAAAGGAAAAAAGAGGAGTTATTTTATTGGTCACATGGAGAGGATAATGTGTTGAAATGAATCTTAATCTGCCCACGTGGTTGTATAGGTCCCATAGGCCGAACATCACAGCTCATGGTTTGTTTAAGTCATTTTGCTTTTCTCTTTGTCGGGGCAAAAGACGACAATGTACACTATTCATATTACAACACTTCCTTCTCCTTCTTCACCATTAGCAACTCCCTTTGATTATGTCCCCTCCAAAGTGATACGGTTCGGTTCCACCCCAAACACAACATTTCTGCAAACAATCTCTGTGTGTGTGTGGTTATTGCTTAGTGCATTAATTTGGTCATGCACTTCCTCAACTTGTTAAAAAAATAAGGTCTTTCTAATTGCTTTCCTCAACCAAGTGGTGGCTTTGTTTGAAAAAGGTTAAAAGAAAAAAAAAAGGCTTGAATGGGGAAATCTCCTGATTGGTTGTATACAGATCATGCAACATGTGGCTCCTCCGCGTGGATTGGTAAAGGATTCACTTGTGTTTGCTTCAAGCGAAAGGGAAACTATCAACGAATCTGCTATAGCTTAACCCCTTTACAGGTTGGTGATTTACAAACTACACATTGTTGTTTTACTTCATTGTCTAGTTGTAGTTTTCTACTTATATTAGTGTTGTATAATTTTTAAGCCTTTTAATTTATTGAAGTGTTCAGTTTTGGTTTTTGAGTTGCATTTCTTCTATAAGATTACTCTCCTAGCCAGGACTTTATCAAATTTGACTTGAACCCGTTTTACTGCTTTGTTATACTCTTCATAAGCTTGAATGCTAGCTTCATGGTTTAGGGTGTTTTCATTGTGCTTATTTAACGATCGTTTAAAATAGAAAATCCTCTTCTTGAGTTACACGTTGTGTCTCTCTGCCAGTTCAAGAAGTTGAACTGCTTGTATATCCACCCTTTCCACTCTTCTCAAAGGCTGCAATTTACAAATGTGTAACTATCTCAATGACAACTTGCAGCATTTGTGAAAATGTTTTTCTAAAATAACAAGAAACTTTTGGTAACAAACAAACTTGTAATAGTTTTTGAAGGTAATTGAAAAACGTGATCGAGTTTCATATTATTCAAAATCTTGTTTTGTTTTCTAGGAATAATTGCGAAAACAATTGTTGAAAACGCATTCAAAATTTGTTTCCCAACTTTATGGTGTTTTCCATCACAAATGGTTTAATAGGTTTTTTTTTTTTTCTTTACTTTTCCTCATATATTTTCTTGTCATGAATTCATTGAGGATAGAGAGCGGTGAGGAAAACAATAAAAAGAAATAGAAAAGTGAATTCATTGAGCAGCAACTTTGTAAAATTTTGTAGGAGGAAAGACTGAGAAGACTAAAGCGCCGAATGAAAGTTTTCTTTGATGCTTCTAGGCTTGATCACCAGGTATAAATTCGGCAACTTTTGGTTCCAACATATATCTTAGTGTTATTATTTTCCTTTGCATTGGGGCAACCATCATTTGCTGAGGGATTCACCGCAATACTATTCTCAGTTAAATTTATACCTGCAAAATTGATGGTACAAGCCAAATTTAGCAATATTGAAAAAAAATTATTTATTCGCATCATTTTAGCCTTCTTTTGTAAGTTACTCATCCATAAATTCTTTCAAGGACAGGATGCATTGAGAGCTCTGTGGTCTGCTTCGTTCCCTGGTCAGGAGCTCCAAAGCTTGATTTCTGACCAATGGAAAGAAATGGGATGGCAGGGTAGAGATCCATCTACTGATTTCAGGTTATATTTTACCTTATCACTCTTTTCTTATGTTTCTGTGTTGTTTTCGCTCTTTACATATTTTTTTTGGTTTCATTTCATGAACAGAGGAGCTGGTTTCATTTCTTTGGAGAACTTACTATTCTTTGCAAAGACATTCTCAGTAAGATTCTGAACTAGCTACTATCTTTTGGTGGTACGAGTTCTATCTTGTAGTCTGTTTGGATATAATTTTAGAATAACTTTTGAGAGCTTTTCTATTGAAAACAAAGAGTTTTTTTTTTTTTTTTTTTTTTTTTTTCTAATAGAAAATGTCTCAAAAGCACTTATAAGTTTGTATCCATTTAGACTCTTAGACTCCCAAAATGAAAATATCCGGATCCACATCTTGAGTTCTTGACTTTAAGCAAAAGACTAACAAGGTCATTGATTTTTCTAAACACCAGTGTAACATTTTATTGATGACAGAAATAAGTGTTTTTGCTCCGAATTCTGCCTACAAATAATTTATTGACTTGTATTGATGTTCCTCAACTTGTTGCAGATTTCTTTTCAGCGCATATTGAAGAAACAAGGAGGAAAAGGAGCTATTTGGGAGTATCCCTTTGCTGCTGCTGGGGTTAATATCACATTTATGATCATGCAAATGCTGGACCTTGATGCTAGTATGTCATGAAAAGCATTTTGCACCAAAAGATAGTTGTTGATTTATTTTAGTCACACATTCTCCCATTTGGTTAAACACGAGTCTTGTGGCCTAAGTTTCCTACGAAATTCAAATTAAATAATACTCTAATCTTGATGTGTGAATTATGTTCTGGATGTGATTGCTTTGTACCGTTAACCTTAACATCTCTTGTGTTAATCCCTCTTGCAAGTAATTATGTCTTTTGTTTATCATAAAATAAATTATACTCTGTTCTTAAAGGGGATGGAATTTGTCATCTGAATTGCAACAAATTTTCTAATGCTGAGTTGTTTATTCATTTGCAGCCAAACCCATGACTTTTGTAAGAGCAGTTTTTTTACAGATGCTTTCAGGTTAGATTCAGCAATTGATTTTGACCTTTTTGTTATATTTTGCCTTGGGAAGGTTTGCTTGTATTAATCCTTATTTTAAGCCTATGCCTTCATTCTTGATATATCTCCGTTCCTAATTTGTACACGAGAATGTTTTGAGATATTATCTTTTGGAGTAATTATACACTTACATCATTTTTTTTATGTTTATCTCTATTCATTATTAATAACTATAATAACTGATGTGATAGAGAGAGATAAACAAAAAAAAAAAATTAATGTTGTAGAAGTATCATTTCCTTATCTTTTATAACATTTACCTAAGTATTCCAAAGTGTTATCTAGCCCTTATTCTATTATTCTCATACATTTGCAGAAAATGAGTGGGCATTCGACTTGCTTTATTGCGTGGCATTCGTGGTTATGGACAAACAGTGGCGGGAGAGGAATGCTACATATATGGAATTTAATGTAAGAATATTTTATGTGCTTTTTAAGCATGGTTTATACATAAAATGCCGTTTGTCAGTATGATACGTTGATACATGGGCCAAACAATGGATGCATATGTAAATTTTTGAGTACTTTATTAAAGGATAGAACTTAGATATCTATAATTTTATTTTCCAGTCAAAATTAGAGTTTTACTTCAGTATTACGCGTGATTAAATAATTTTTTTTTTATTACAGGATGTCTTGAAACGCACGCGACTTCAGCTAGAGAAAGAGTTGTTGATGGGTGATGTTCTACGGATTGAAGACATGCCTTCTTTCAGTCTTCTTTTTTGACAAAAGCATAGCAAGCTATCTGACCAAAACCTTGTCACAAGCATAGTTTGTGTACATTCTTGCACACCTGCTTATTGAATCCGTTGCTTTAATCTTTGTCCATTATTAACTAACATAGCGTATCTGTAATTTGTCATCAACATTCCTTACATGATAGCTCTTAATTAAAATGAACTCGACTCCGTGATTAGTGCTAAACAAATTTCCAACTTGCCGGGTAGACTTTGTATCCACGAGATTCTCACTTGAAAGTTTTTGACTAAAGATTTTTAAGTGCATGTTTGGATTAAAGTTTGCAAACTTAAGTTTAGATGATCTTCATTTTGCAACATGAGTCTGCAGAAGTAATCCTCCCTTTGCTTTCATTTCAAATTGGGTTTTAAGGCAACATTATTCAATTCACAATCGGGCCTAATAGAAAGTCAAATAAGAGATTATTGGAAGCCTCTAAACTGAAAATCAAATATAGTCTAAATTGTAATATATAAATCATCTTATATATGAATTTTAAAGTAACTATTTTAAAATTGAAAATCTAATAAATTTATGTATATGAAAATTTATATTAGGTATCGATGTAGAATTATACTGTAAAATTGTTAATCAAATTCTCTGTTATAAATGGATGATGAGATATATGTGTGTTATTTTCTTAGGCCATAAAATAAGGTAGGCCCAGATCAAGCCATCGGAACGTTCCAATTACGAGGGAACAATTGCTAAAATATGTGAATATACTTATTTTCGTAAAATAATACTAGTTCCTTTTCTTATGTTTTAGGACCCAACTCTTGTTTTTAAAGTTGATGACACCTGCCATGTATTGGATCAAGGGTATGTTTTTGGAGGTGTTGTTTATCCATATTCCAAACCTTAAAAGACACACGTGCTTTTACGATGTCTAGTGTGTGATTGAATTAAAAGGGAATTGAATTCAACTTAACTTTTTAAGTTAATTTTTTTAAAATTAGTATCTTTTTTATTCAACTGAAATTTATTTGTAATTTATACTCAATAAAATGAAATTTTTTTTGTTAAACTTATAAATACTACATTCGAGATCAACTAACTAAGATTACAAGTTTCAAATGTGTAATCAAATATAATCTTAATAATCATCACATAATTTGTAGATATATACTACCTTGATGTATTAATTTTCTGTACTCATCTCACTAACATTTAACCCTAGTTAAATATTTGATTTAATGAAGAGTAATAGCAACATATTATTTAACATATTTTTCCTAATACGCTCATTCTCACTTGTTAGAATTTATTAAAAATTACAACATAAAAAAAATAATCATTAAATAGGAATTGAAAATTACCAAATTTTATATTTTCTAATAAATGTTAACTAATTAAAATATGCGTGTTAAAAAATGTTTGTGCTATTTCTCTTGATTTGATTAAAGAAGAAAACTAGTTTACTAAATATGGCGTTGTTATTGATTTTGCCCTGCAAACAAGATAAAATAAAATGAAGCATGGTATTGATTCATTGAAGTGGGAAGACAATGCATGTGGTATGCTGCAAACGGGGTTGCCACCATGAGCAGTGAGAAAGGGAATGAGGGGTTAATGATTATTGATTGGTGTGTTCCCATGCTTGAGGAAGTGCGACCAAAGTGTTGCGTAAAATTCAGCTTAGCTACCAGTTAGTGAACTTCTTATACGTTATCAAGTGCGCATACTCAATCGAGAAACTATTTTTTTTTTATTTATCAAAATTATAATAACAACCATTTAAATTTAAGATTATATATATATATATATATATATATATATATATATAAATTTATTTTTAATTTTCATAATTTTATGAATGTATAATTTTAGTTTTTTTTAAATAATTTATTGTAAATTTGATTTTTAGTTTTTAAAGTTTATTCATAATTCATACGTCATTCAATATTAAAAAAAATATGGATGACTATCTACGAATGATACTGCCTTCAAACATTAGTCGGTTAATTAAGAAAATAAAAGTATTAAATTTTTTTTTAAACCATCTTAGTAAATTATGATTTTAATAAAAAAATGTTTGTAGTAAAAAGTAATGTTTTTTCTTATATGGAAACCAGTGTGATTAAATAATTGTCATGTAGTATATATATATATATACTATTTTAACATCTACCACTAGTGGTTCGAACACAATTTTTAATATGGAGAATTATTAGATAATCTTAAGTTATAATTTCCTAAAATATATGCAATTAGTTATTGATAGTCAATTTTGAAATTATGTCCAAAGATTAAAAAAAATTTATAATCTCTTATTAATTTTTACATAACATATAATCAAGTATTATTATTTAACGATCATGAACTATCTAATAATTTCTCTACTAATACTATAATACATCACTCTTAATTTTACTCTCAGATATATTAAAATTTATTAAAAATTATAAAAGTATGATAGATTAATTAATTATGACGTTTCTAATAATTTTAATCCATAAAAATATGATTTATATTATAAAAAAAAGTGTGGAAGATCGTATTTCTAGCAATTTTTGTATTTTAGGAAAGTACCTTATATATCCCAACAATCCGACAATTAATAACCCTATTTTAAATGAAAATTAAAAGCCGAATTAATAGATATTGATGCCTTTTGGTTTTAAGTACTTTAACTTCCATTCTAACTTTGCTTTTTTTAATTTAATTATTTTAAAATTTTTAAAATATTCTTAAAAATGTTTAAATCTAACCAAGTTTATTTTGAACTGTTTCAGGATTCCTAGTTATATTATTTCGGAAAACATAATTCCTAAAAAATTTAATATCTTTTGTGAAACAAACGTGCCTTAAATATTTAGTTAATCGTTTAACAGAATAAAAATTTCCCAGAGAAGTTCTACGACAATTTTTTTTTCAACGCTGAGTACATGGAAAGAATTGTCCAGATTTATATTATTACGCATGTATAGATGTATACGTACTTCCGTCACATGCAAAAATTTATCTGGAATTGTTTCTTTCTTCTATTAGATTGCATAAATGACATCATGAGTTGTACTCATTTGTTTCTTTATTAGTTCATCAATGTGTTAAAAAGGAAACTCTTCCTTAAACCTTATTTTTAAGTAAAGACAGAATTGTGTGGGGTCTGGCCAATCATTCGGTGGTTTGAATTGAATTTACTAACCATGCAAGTGTGCAACCATGAAATGCTGCAGGTTTCATTCGGGACCTTAAATGCAAAGATGAAAATTGCATTTTTGCGTGTAAAAGCCAATGTGAAAATAAGGAGTAAAAAGGTTGATTTTTTTTTTTTTCTCTCTCAACCTCCAACTGCATCATCCAAGTGCAAATCTCCTTCCATATATAGAGGAAATAAAGAGCAATAGAGGCATAAAAAGTGAAAAACCCATCTTCACTTTGAAGCCACGAAAAATAAAAACAGAACTATCTAAAAATAAAGGAAAATAAATCCAGCCGAAAGGGTAATCGTAAGTATAAATGTTCTCAAAATATTAAAAATCACGCTTAACAAATCTATCAATCATCTGATTAATTTATTTGAATATATGATAACATTCTACAGTATAATCTTGATTTGTCATACTAACCATCTTATTTATAAGTGTATAATAAGAATATTCTCGATTATATTCTTTATTTAGTAAGGTAACTATTAAAGCAAAATCTGACCCAACAATAACATTTCTTGTAACTTCTTTATCTCTGATGAGCTTTAAATCATGATAAATAATCCATAGTTTAGCTTAGACTCCTGAACAGGATCCCAATATACATGAAAAAAGCAAAAATAAAAGCTCCATAATGATCACGAACAATACTTTCATAGCAAGATAGTTGTTCTGTTCCATCACAATTAAGCTCGTAGAATCCGAAGGCAAGGTCCATTTAATACTAGAGGCCACAAGTTGTACAAGACTATTAGAAGAAAACCCCATCGAAGCAAGACGAGAAATTTCTAATCCTCGAGCCCGGACTTCATTTATATTCTTTGGTCCAGGCAGATTAGCATAAAAATATTTTAAATAAAATTAATTACATGAGTTAGGTTCAGTGCTTCTTGGAATGAAAATTCATCAAAATTTCAAAATAAATATATGTATATTTTACCCTTTATAATTATAACCTACATCTTTTGTTTTATGATATGCTGTCGGATCTCAACATTTTTTTAATTCGATTCAAAGCAACCCAAGGGGTTTATAGTAATTTCCCAAATTCATGAATGCAATATTCTCATTTCATATTTTCATCTTTATGATGCCTTTCGTCCCTGACAAGACACGGCTCAGCTTTACTCTGTTGCTGGAATAAGGTAGAACGTTTTATTCAAAGTTTTTAAGAACTCCGAAATTAATTTTGCTGCTGCTGTCTCTGCACCTAAATAAACTGCTTTAAAAAAAAAAAAAAAAAAAAAAAAACTCACAATACACGTGATAATGATGGCCTACTAAATTTGATCTCATTTCTGGAAACTTGCAATAAAAATAATCAACTTTAACATTTATTACAAAAAAGCAAAAAATAATTATTTCATACTTATCTATCCCAATCAAGATCAGCATCATATATTTGTGGAAGATAACGTAGGAATCAAGTCCTATAAAATAAAAAGTGCTATACTTGACGAAGCCTGGTGCAAAACACATATCACATCTGACACCACTAAATGAGGAAGTCCATCAATTTTAGGTTCTAAAGACAGAGACATGTGTAATACAATTTAAAAAATAAAAGAGGGGGGAAAAAGATAAAGTCCTAAGGATAAAATGACTGGTTGATTCTTGAACCCAAAGCTTACATTACCCACCTCTGCCATCCTTGTCTTTTAAGCAAAAACTAATACCAAATGTAAATACTATCCCCACTGACACCAAAACTTCTTTCTCATCATTCTTGAATTTTGCTTCTTCATTCAGTTTTTTTATTCAGAAGTTCTCTCCTAAGTTGGATCTATACTGAAGGGTTCCATCAAATCAAATGGGTTCATTCCAGACACCAATTGGAATGAGAAGTTCCACATTGCTAGAGACTTCATGTGGATTCCTGTTACAGGAACTGCAGGCAAGAGGGTTATTTATTTCATACATTACATATGCCTTTAGATAACTACTGTTACATTTCAACTTTTTTTTTATATCTCATATGAATTTAGATAATATGGGATGAAGTTGGAGAAGATAAGTTTGAAAAGGAGAAGGTTCTGCTAGATTTGGAGCAAGAATGTCT